CCTCCAAGAGCTGTTGCAACCCCCGCCCCTCCTGCAACCCCTCCAGCGATCGCTCCTCCTCCCTTCAAGCTGATCCTCCTATGAATGGTGCTGCTCTTCTTCTTGGAGAGGACTCTCACTCCGCTGCCTTCCTCTCCTCCCCTGCAAGTCCGCGACTTTTCAAGGGACCGGCAGACCAGCATCAGGCTCGACGGGTCCTGCTCGCTGTGGAGGAGCCTGAGGCTGCTGGCGGTGGTGGCGGAGAGCAGGGAGACTCTCCTCTGCGTCTCCTGTGTGTAGGGACGCTGAAGGAGAAGTCAGGACGGAGAAGAGAAGAAGACTAGGAGGAGGGAGAGGAGGAGACAAAAGAGGAGTGCGAGAATAAGTATGAGGGGGGATTGGGGGGAGGAAGAGGGGCAAGAGCAGCAGCAGCAGCAGGAGCAGGAGGGGGAAGACAACGACCTCATCCAAGAAGGAAGGCAGGAGGGTGGCTGAACTCTCGTCGTGCTTGACAGGGCTGCTTGTCTCCGCCCTCTCCCCCCGAGTGCTGATGCATCGCTCCTGCTGCCTACTCCTCCGCTGCTCACCTGCCTCCTCCTCTGCCATGGCGGAAGAGAGCTTCGGCTCTGCAGACTTGGAGCGGGAGGACGGGAGGTCTTCGCGCTCGATGCTCCTCAGGGTCGCCTCCTGTAGCTCCTTCAACCTGTGGATCATGATCTTGTCCTGGACCCTGAGGCGTCTCGGAGGCTTCATGGGAGACTGCAGGAGCAGCGAGCTGCCGGTAAGCACATCGTCCAGCCCGGGCAAGGGAGACGAGGGCGTCAGCACTCGATAGCCTCTGCGAGGAAGGGGAGAGCCGTTCCTCCCCGCTTGCTCCTCCCCAGCTCGGAAGTACGGGAAGCTGGTTTCTAGCTGGGAGAGGGCGGAGCTGGTGACGTAGAGCTCGTCGAGTACCCTCGCGGGTTTGACGGAGTTGTCGCGGAGAGGAGAACGAGACCTGGAGGAAAAGAGTCAAGTAAAACTGCCTCTGCACTCCTACCCTGCTTCTTCCTCATCCTCTTCTCTCTTCCCTCCTCACTCTCCTTCCCTCTCCCACATCTTCTTCTCCTCATTTTCCTTCAACTCCTCTTCCTTGCCCTTGTCCTCCCCCCCCCTCATCCCCGTCTTCCCGTCTACCGCCGCCTCCTCCCATCTCCTCTTCTCCCCTGCTTCTCTTCTCTCTCATCACTCACACTAGGAATGGCATCCTCTTGGTCGGCTCTGCCTGTGACGGATGCTGCTCCAGTTCCTCGTCTTCATCGCTCACGTCCACTGAGAGGTGAGGGAAGGGAAATATCCTTGGGAGCCGCTCCTGAGTTTCCATCCTCCTTCACTTTGTTGCTACGATGAGAGACAGAGCGAGCTCGGACCAGATGGCTGGAGAGGGCAGGGAAGATGCTTCTTTCATCTGAACGAAATGTTGATGTGAGATGAATCGGAAAAGTTTCAGATGAATCAACAGAACCAACACGATCATATGTTCCCTCGGAGAAGGTTACAAGAACCCGACCTCACCTCCTCTCCCTCTCTCTTAACTCCTCTCCTCCCCTGCCCCCTGCCCCCCCCCCGTCTCCTCTCCTCCCCTTCATGGACATCCGTTGGTTTTTCGCCGGATCTAGTCAACAATAATGAAACCGTTGGAGGTCGCGCGGGCCCGGTGATACTGAGGTGGGCCCGCCAGATGATCACGTTACCCTGCACGTTACCTGGACCTCTTAATTTTAAAAGAGTTTTAAAACGGAACCAGTCGCAGACGGGGAGGGAGATATCTCTTCCTTTACTCAAAGTTAAGTTCTATCTAAGGGGAGGATAAGTAGACAAGGGAGGCAGCGAGAGAACGGAGGGAGGGAGGGGATTGGAGGGGAGGGAGGAAGCGAGGTAGCGGACGAGCACATAGGAGAGTAGAGGATGAAGAAATGAAGACGGAAGGGGTTGGAGGAGGATAGGCATCAAGGAAGGTCTCAGGGAGAGAAGAGGAAAGGTCTAACTCGTTCATTGCAGGACTACCTTATGGATCAGACGCTCGTAACCGCTGTCAGAATATTTCCCAGGAGGAAACACAACCTCCGCAGCAGCAGCGGGCAAGTCACAGCGACGCGGGAGGTGCTGGCGAGTATGTTTCACCTGAGACAGCAGGAGGCTGCGGATGAGCTGGTACGCGACGAGCTTCTCTCTCTGCTGACCTGACGGGATCCCCTTTGTTGCAGGGACTGTCACTCACTGCGTTCAGATGCGCATGCCGGAAGTTGGGGATCCAACGTTGGCCATACAAGAAGGAAGCGAGGAATGCGAGCGAGCCCCCTCTTTCCCCTGTATATTCGCCCGCTCCCGATGACATCCACAGCAGCGATCACAGCGAGGAAGAACCGGAAGATAGCGCGAGCTCCATGACGAGTCCAAACGGTGCAGAGGAGCAAGGCAGCGAGGGGGAAGCTTGGGATGGCTTGTCGAGAGCCTTCATTGAGTGGTACATGACAGCGCACGACGAGGAGCCCCAGCAGCCCGAGGCCGAGCACAGACTAACACCAGCAAGAGACACCAGGCTAGACCCCGGATAGATAGACACCAGGACGGATATCAGCTCACGGTCGCTGATCGACCTTAATGGCATCGCAAGCTGCTGCTTAACGTTTTGTTTATATACACCAGCTATCACACACTGACATCCCCAAACCCTCCTCCATGAGCCCAGAGGTCTGTCTCCGGCTTCTCTCCAGCTCGTCTCTTGCTTGTCCTGTCTCCAGCTGATCTGCTCTCCAGCAGCTTACCGTGAGCCCAGAGCGATCAAGAGTCCGCGGAAGAGTATCCTCCTGCGGCCTGCCCTCCTGTCCGGTCCGGGCATGGCTCCGGGTGCTGTAGCACCTCGGCCGTGTCTTGTAGAGCCTCTTCCTCCCGTCTTCCTCGTCGTCCTCTTGTGCGACGTACCACTCGATGAAGCCTCGATCGAGCTCTGCCCCGTCTGACAACATGCCAGCGCGGCTGGATGCGGAGGGCTGAGACGGCTCGTTCGGCAGGAGGATGCGGGACTGGCTGGAGGGGCTGGTGGCGTACGCATCGGACACTGACAAGCGCCCGAGCCTAGAGGAGCCTGCAGGCTGAGAGACTCGCACTCTCTCGTATGGCCATCGCGTCACGCCCAGCTTGCGGCATGCGTTCCTGAACGCCGTGAGGGACAAGCCCTGGCGACAACCCGTCACACGCCAGACCTCCACAGCAGCATGAGGCGCGATATCGAGACCACCAAGAGCATCGAGATCGGCAGCAGTAGAGGAGGGGAGGCAAGCAAGGCACTCGTGACAGGCTCATGCAAGGCAGGGCATCAGGGGGGTCAGGGGGCGTACCAGGAGGGCGGCGGCCTGCTCGAGCTTGAGGTGGAAGAGGCTGAGGAGGTCGTGGTGGCTGAAGGAGACATGGTTGAGCGCGCGAGGCTGGCTGGCTCGCCTGCGGGGGACGATGCGGACCGAGGTAGCGGGGGCCTGCATGTGCTCGAGGACACTGCAAAGGCCAATGCTGGTTTTACTACATGTCTCCTGATATCCGTCCGAGGCTTCTAGAACGTCACAAATCAGACTGGTCACGGTCATGTCACGGTCTGACTCCTGACAGCCCGTAAGGGTCCAACGACTGGCTTAACTTAAGACCTGCCGGGCTCGTGGGCGGTTTTGACCTTTATTCCAAGTTAAGTTAAAAATCAGTACGAGGACAATCAGCCAATGCTGTCCCCCCGGCAAACTTAAGGCTGATCGGACAGTGAGCGCGCGAGGCTAGCCCGGCCTGCCAGGAGACTGAGGAAGGAAGCAGGAGAATGGGCCCAGATGTAGCAGGACAAGGGGAGACAGGGAATGTTGAGATATGGGGGCCAAAATGACTCGCCATGCTGCACTGTGAAAGATTACTCAACTGAGGGACGTGAAAACAGCCTTAAGAGACGAAATGTGCTGATTTCAATCACTGGGGGGCCACACGGGACTCTATCGAATCTAGTGACTCGCACCTTCATATTGACTGATCTTTAACTTAACTTTGAGTAAATGAATTGACGTCGTAGTAGACGTAGACTCGCCGAGTCGGTTCTCAGTGACTCTCAGTGAATTGCCGGGCCGGGCCCCGGCCCGCCGGACTTGAAGTTCATAAAATGGCTCCGAAAGGATTTGACAAAGTCGGTGAGATTGAGAGGAGAGG